GTTCAACGCCAACCCGCTCTTTCCTTAACCTTTTTCTGGATTGATGACGATGATAAGGTACCCAAGTTCATACGTACACCTCTCGCGCTTTTCTCATGAACCTTGCTGTACATATTTTTTTATGCATGACTACTTACCTAGGCAGATTCGTGGAGAGAGAACAAGGGCAAAGCACGGCCCAGTTACCGGTGAGCCACTTAAAAGCTGAGGATCAGGTAGGAGGAGGAGGAGAATAAGACAAATTCGTTCCTTGTGTTGGTACAGTACGCACGCGCCGCAAGAATGCGACGTTGAGCTTACCCGGAACTTTGCATGCGGCACCCTGCAGTACTGTATGCACGCACGCAATGCAACAGGGGCCTGAGCCGCAGCTAACGGTAAGTAGGTACTTATGGTTCTCACGTTTCAATCTCTCTCTCGCGCAACGCAAACTAAATTAGAAGGCCCGGATCGATATCTTTTGCCTTTTCTAGATAGGTCTCTCTCTCTCTCTCTCTTTTTCGTGCTCACTTACATATACGACGTATTTGCGTACTTATGCATGGCATAATGCACTATTGACGGCTTGGTAATGGGTGTTGTACCCACATACGTGTATTTCGTGATGAAGTCCCGTATTGGGAAGTATTTCTCGAAGATTCCAAGCGTCTTTGCATCTTCTTCCCCGGCTCGAGGATTTGGGACTCGAGAGTCAAAAGGGTAAAGAAGAAGAAAACTGGCAAGGATCTGCAGCCATGTTTACTTGTACAGTACATAGCGGAGAATGCATTCTGAATCTTTTTGTTTATCTATCTTGTTCATTATGTTCAGCTTAAACGGACAAAACCACCTATCTACTAGATAGACAAGGGGCTCGCTGGATTCATTGGCTTTATTTGCTAGCAATGTAAATTAAAACCGGCTGGCGAGACTCGGGCCACGGGTCCACGACACCCTACCACCCCGTGCAGCCTACATACATACATACTTATTTACTCTGCATATAACGCATAGAACCAACGGGCGGAGCCCTCAACGTGGAGGAGCGGGATACACGCAATGAATACAAGGCCGGACAGGGTGTGGTGTGTGGAGAAAGTGGAGATGAAACAGGGGGTGACATAACCAACGAAAATCGAATTTCGGCTGGTTTACTTTAACCTTAGCTATTGACATTTGACAAAGTGGACTTCATGCACATAACATGCTGCACGCAACACGCTAGCCCAAGGTCAAGCCAATGCCGAGATGGAAAGGGAGAGAGCGGCCTTGCGCTTCTGTAAATGTGGTCGAGTTGGTATCCGTTTGGGAATTTGGAATGGGGGGGAGCGGAGACGGAAAGCCCCGGTGGACAGACGACAACCGGGGTTGAGGCTCAAGCTCAAGCGGACGTTGAAACGTCAAGGACAAGACAAAACTAACCTAGGTTAGAGCCTGGTACCTGGTAAACCAGGTAAGTGAGCTGCACCTCACAGACAGCATGAGCCAGCACATCGATAGCTGACAAGACTGCAGAGGGTACGGACGTAATGCGTGCAGCTAACATTATTGCTGGAGCTGCGAAAGTCTAACCCCGTACGGGTATACCCCGTCCCGTTCCCTCAGCGGGTGGACTATGATCTGCGAAAAGGCATTGTGGTCCGAGTAGGAGCCAGGGGTACGGTGCGGGTAAGTAAGTAAGTGAACTCACGGACACTGACTACATCTCGTTCGGCGTGCCGGACGATGAGCCCATATCGTATACCACCATACTCTGTAAACTAAGCGGAGCAGGGCAGGTCACAAAATAACTAAGCACCAGCACGAGCAAGACGAATAGCGCTAGCCCATAGCTCGACTTCAAAACTCGTTCTCCTTAAGAAGACTTTGGCTTATGAGAATTGGCAATCACAAGAGGGTGAGAGAGAGAGACAGAGAGAGAGACTCCTAGTTGAAAGGACAAGCAAGCTCTTGACCACGTCAAACGTATCTGATCGATAGGCAGTGCAACCAAACATGTCCAAACCGAACGAGACGACGCCCGGATCGGAAACGGGTGCAGCAGTCCAGCAAGACGGTCTGCACACGGCCATTTACACGCCCTCATTCCTGTCGCTGGTCTACAACTGGGTCGTTCTGTACTTCAATCTGCGCTGGATGTGGCGCTGTCGGTGAGTTTTGAGTTTTGAGTTTTGAGTTTGGTTTTGTTTTTGTTTTTTTCCTCTTCCTCGCAAACCTGAAGGGGGGTCCGCATGATGAATGACGGATATACTTGAGAACTAAGGTTAATTCCCACCCCGGGTCGACGAACAGAGCAGACACAGTCCTGGAGCCCTTCTTCTCGGAGAACTTCTCGCGCAACCATCTCGACATCGGGGTCGCGACGGGCTACTTCCCCAGCGTGGCTCTGTCGCGGCCCTTCCGCTCCCACGCGAGACAGACGCTCGTGCTGGCCGACCTGAACCCGAACCCGCTCCGTGCCGCCGCCGCCCGTATTCTCTCCCTCTCCTCCCCCTCCTCCTCGAGGGAAAACGAGAAGAGCGGTGACAAGAGCGAGGGCAATATATCCGTCTCAACAGTAGTAGCGGACATAACGCTCCCCCCGCCCCCCGCGCTCGCGTCTCACGCGCCATTCGACAGCATATCCATGTTCAACCTCTTCCACTGCGTGCCCGGCGGGCCGGCGCACAAGCTCCAGTCCCTGGACCAGTACGCCGCGCTGCTGAGCGAGAAGGGCGTGTTGAGCGGCTGTTCGGTCCTGGGCGGAGACGCTGCGACCAACTGGGTCAACTACGCGTACGTCAAGATGTATAACAGGCTCGGCATATTCTGTAACTGGGACGACAACAAGGAGCATTTCGAGGACAGGTTGAGGGATATCTTCGACGAGGTCGAGATCACCGTCGTGGGCATGATTGTACTGTTCAGGGCTACGAGGCCGAAGAACAAGTTAAAGGGAGGAGAGTAAGTAAGAAGCTGGTTAGTAAGGTGGAAAGGGAAAGGAGTTATATGAATAGGGAAGCGGGTGAGTTGGTTGACTTGATTCCATTAGATGAGACCATGTTTTGGACGTTGGGGTATCGATACTTTGAACGAGTGAACAGAATGTATGGTAAGCGTACTCGCTTTTCCAGTGAGAATTAATGGTCCCTTATGAGCCATCATCTGACATCATTCATGGCTGTCACATTCTCATCTCCAAGTCTTCACGCAAAGTGATCTACCAGTAACTGTTCTCACTCCCACACTTATTTATGTACGGAGGGTCAATAAACCTCTCTTAAGCAGTAGCAGGTAGGAGTAGATAGCGGTAAGTGATAAAACCCGTTGGGTTATCCAGACCTCTTAGAATTGGTCAATGGATCATCCTGGAAGGCATCCCTTACTGCTGCAACGTTTACATTACGCCTTAAGACTGAGGAGGTAAGGGGTTCCGCACATACCTTAGCTCCAGTGCTACCAGTCTCTATTCTAGTATGAGGACTGGGTGAGAGAGATGGCAACTTAATGAGTTACGTAGTAGTATAGCGAAAGGCCCATTCGTCAACTAAGTGAGATACACTCACAAGCTGGAGACCGTACAGAGAAGCAAGGGCTGGGTTGCGGGTGTTTAGTACCTCTCTGCTATCCATTTACACTACTACATTAAGTTTTCTGCGTATTCCACCTAACCTTAGGCTGCCCACTCGTTTGGACGACGAAGGTCTTCGAACACCTGCCGAATTAACTCGCATGTGGGCTACGTTTGCCTTCAGACTCTCCTTGCCTGCAACCTACATAACTATTCTACGCTTTATCATCTCGGCTATGGTAGTTTTTCGGCAGAGCAGTCGAGCGGGTAATAGCGCACTCACTCTGCGTATTATCAGAAGTCCCAGTTACCAGGACCTGTCCATCTCTGCCCTCTGTAAACATTGGCACACGTAAGGGAGCCTGTATGTTGGCATGTGACAAGGGCCTGTTGCTATCAGAGTTCTGGGGAGACGGAAGGTCCGGAGCCTCCCAGCTTATCACCCGCCGGGGAGGAAAGGGATTGTCCGTCAGGTCACTCAGGAAGCATAAGCTGCCCAGACGCCGGGGTGGGTGCGTGCGTCACCTGCTGTCTTCCTTGCACCTTCGACGAGGCTGTACATACATAGTATTGCAGGTAGGAGGGAAGATCCTCGAAGGAGCCGGCTGATTAGCCTTGGTCTGTCCACATGCCTGGTTATGGTTTCTCTTGCAGTAAGTAGCAAGTCGGTGTGATGGCCTGGCCCTGTCTGTCTGCATTACTTCGTTAGAAAGGACATGCAGTGCACAGCAGTCCATGGAGATCACCTTCGCTTCGGAGCACGGCAAATACACAGGCGCCATTCTAGATCATTGCATGTTGATGTGCCTCAAGCATGCATGGAAGCGTTGCCTCCACAGCCTTCCAACGCTGAAGGATGGGATGTAGGTAGGTTAATGCAGTTGGATCAAATAAGAGTCACTGTACCGCGTGATGGTGCATGAAGGCTGTCTGTCATTAACAGGCAATGCAGAACCAGATAGTCCGGAAGTGGAAGGAAGGACAGTGCATACTTATGCAACCGGCAGGCAAAGGAAAGATACCCAGAAAGGTAATTTGAACACATCAACCCAGCGGTGTATGGGAGCTGCACTGATTTATGTATTCTGTATGCTGCACCAGATAGGTTAAAATCCGCCAAACAAACGAGTAAGGGGAAATGGCACCACGCCCGTACTCGATAGAAGTTTAAGGTTAGTGCTGTACAGCAGACTGCAGTACACTGAGGTACATACACCTCGGTTAAGTACAGCAGTAGTGGGCGGCGGCTGAATGACAGCAAAACGACGACGGTGCACTGTGCAGAGACACGAACAACTCCTCCGAACGCACTCGCTTCATCCAAAAAGCTGCAAAATAGCCTCGGCAAGCCCAAGCTCATCCACAAGAAAAGGCACCAGGCAATGAGGCTTCGTTACCTAAGGACAACAACGTACTGCTGTAAACAACACTAAAAATCGAAATGCCTCATAGGCAATGGAAAAGATACAACCTCCCCCGGACAGGCTTGAACTGTCAACCTCTCGATAACCTGCTACTTCTAACAGTCGAACGCGCTAGCCAATTGCGCCACGGAGGAATACAGTTGTGCTTGTTGCTTGGTTGTTAAACGGTCGGTTGGTTAAAGCTGGTGTAAAGGAAATAGTAGAATTGCCAGCATGGTAAAATGACATAAAATCAACAAAGGTAGCAATAACGACTTGAGAAATATAAGGTAACCAAAAAGAAACCAAAAAGATGATGTATATCAACTCCCCCGGACAGGCTTGAACTGTCAACCTCTCGATTACCTGTTGCATAACAGTCGAACGCGCTAGCCAATTGCGCCACGGAGGAAGATCCGGCTTGTTACATATTGGTTGCCGTGGTAGTTTCCCATAAGTATTAGGCCAAGTACAAGGTCAAACTTTTACCAAGTAACTACAACACCTCCCTTGGTTTTGAATCATACTCCAGCCAGTACAGCTGATCATTTATCCCAGGTCCAGTCATCTATTCTCCTTGGCGCTTTTGTGCAGTTTTTGTTTTGGCAGGTATCACACTACCCAGGTATCTGCTGTATGTAGGTACTTGTTACAAGTGTCTTCTGTTGTCAAGACACCACAGCTACCAGGCTTGCCAGACACATGCCAGGTAAAGTCAGTAGGCGGTACGCGACAATCATGCGGCCTGCCCATCCCAATGGGAAATCATCAAACAATCTCAATCGCAATGGTCATCTCCTATGATACGAGAAGTTGCCAACCAACGCGATCAACCTAAATCTCATGTGATAATCCCTACCTCCTCACCGCTAGCGCTGCATGATGCTTCTCTTCTGGTCTTTATGCTAACCTAATGCGCCTCGTTTGCGTCGAAATAAAATGTCTGGCCGCCCTTACTCACACATCTTCCTTGATATGGTACCATACGTAGCTGAGCAAGCGGCTCCGGCTGGAGCCTCCCCACCTATGTCGCTACGCCTTGTAATCTATCACCTATCTGTAGGTTAAACCCCCGTACTGGGCTGGGCGAACGGGGTTTGACTGGCTCGTGGTGTTATGGTGACCAGCCGTTCCCTTCCCGACTCTGTCTGTCTTCGCACCTGATCCCGTGGATATGGGCAAGGGATATGGGAAAGGGAAAGCGCAGAACCCGTCGGGAACTTTTGTACTACGTGCATGTCAGTGCCCAGACGTGACGTGAATCATCCGGGGGCTGCTTCCTACCTGTCATATTGCTGATCTCTGGTCGACAGAGGTAGGCTGTTTAACTGGTACATTTAGGTTTGGCAATATATATATACCAACACTTGGAACTCGTTTATTACCCCTGTGATACATGCATGCGGAGAACTGCTCAAGGCTGCCCTGCATTGTTTTTCTATATTAGATAGCGTCAATTCGTTGCTTAAATACGTGGCTGCCCGTCTCTTTGCCTGAGATTTGACACCTAAGGAAAGAGACTCTGAGAGAAAACAGATAGGCTAGCATAATATGGACCAACACGGGAAAGACGCCTTGCTGCCTCAACGCCGCGCCGTGAGGCCGTTGTCAGTCATCGTGGTCGGAGCAGGTATCGGCGGCCTCGCCACCGCCCTGGCTATGCGGAAGGCGGGACATGATGTTGGTGAGTATCGTCTCCCCACTACCTAGGTTAATTTGTATGGGGAGCAAGTGGGGATATGAGGAATATCCCAGAGAGAAGGAGAACACTCAGATAGTTTCTTGCTAACCCTCAGCCTCCCCGTCTTCCTTCCCGGGGGGTGAAACAAAAAAAAAGTCATACTAGAAAGGCGCCAGGCCATCAGCGAAGTCGGCGCGGGCATCCAGCTCGCTCCCAACGCTGCCAGAGTACTCGGCAGGTTCGGCGTCCTCGACGAAGCCATGAGGTACGCCACCGTCCTGGAAGGCGTCAGCCTGAGGCGCTGGGAGAGCGGCGAGGAGCTGGACCTGGTGCCCATGGTCCCGGACGTCGAGGCCCGGTTTGGCGCCCCCGTCGCCGCCATGCATCGCGCCGATATGCTGCGCGTGTTGCTTGACGCCGTGGTCGCGGCAGGATGCGAGGTCCTGACGGGCCATACGGTAGTTGATATCGATGAACAGTTCTTGCCGGTATGTTTGAATTATCTTGCCCGCCTCTGCCCTCCTTTTCATTGGTAGCATCTGTCTTTGACATGACCATGTTTATATACCATAAGCTGATATATTTTTCCCAGTACGTGACATTCTCCTAACTAACCGGACCTAGCTGGCGGCCATCCCAGTTGAGCGATTCCCTGTTCCCGACACGCCGTACACGAGTTACTCCCGGATTCCAGGCAGCGTTATACGTACATGAGATGACTAACAGTGTGGTCTCGTCACCCAGAGGTATCCTCGTACACAGCAGTGACAGAAAACAGATCTGGATGCACGCCGACCTCGTCCTCGCTGCTGACGGCGTGAACTCGCTGATTCGGCGACGCATGGCGCTTGCAAGCGAGGCTGGCAATATCAGTTCTCAACATGCACACCAGCCCACCACTGCGCAACTGGCCTACCGATTCCTCCTCCCTCGCGAGCTGCTGCTTTCACTGACAGCCGGTCACGACGAAGGCGGAGGTCCTTCCTCCCTGGTAGAAGAGACCTTGGACAAGAATCAGGGGATACGAGTCATGGGTCCCGGGGGCCACGTCATGGCCTATCCCTTGAGAAACAACACGCTCTACAACGTGGTGTTGGTGCGCGAGACTCCTCGGGACGGCGACGCAAATGGTGATGACTCGGCAATTGTTACGACGTCGAGCACACCGTCCTGGACCACGAGCGCGAGCAAGGAGAAGGTGCTGGAACATTATCGTGGTTGGTGTCCCTTGGTCAGGAAACTGATTGAGAGTGCGCCAAGATCCGGTATTCTGAGGACGCCTATGAGCGATATGCCGCCGTTGCAGACATGGGCCATGGGACGGGTTGCGCTTGTGGGAGATGCCTGTCGTAGGTGGAAGCTTTGATTTGTCTTGCCCTTAACCCTATCCACTGTTTTCTTATCCTCCTTGTAACGAGAGAGAGACAAGCTAACCAACAACTCGATACCCGGCTACGGCCAGACTACATGTTCCCCTATGTAGCCCAAGGGGCTGCAAACGCGATCGAGGACGCTGGGGTCCTCGCCATGGCCTTCACGTGCACGGATGATGTAGAATTAGCGCTAGACATATATCAGATGGTGCGCAAGGAGCGCGGCGAGAGGATCCAAAACAGCGCGAAGGAGACAGGAAGGTCTGTGCATCTACCCGACGGGGAAGAGCAGGAAAAGAGGGACGAGGCGATCAGGCTAGCGGGAAAGGGACTGGGCAACAACCCCGATCAGTGGAATGATAGGAACTTTAGGGATTTCATGTGGGGTGTCGATGCATGGCGGAGACGCTCGACATGTGCGGTGCTATGTCAGGGGGGAGTGAGAGGGCGAGAGCCGGGTGGCGAGAAGTGTCGAGGTTGTAGGCTTATACGACACGAACAAAATGATAAGCGAAGAAAGGGGAACGGGCACTTCAAGTGGGCGCAACCTATTTGCTTCTGGCTTCACTGCCTGACATGGGCTCAGAATCAAGCATGATAGAACCTTTCAGCATCCGGGCAAGTGCTTGTCATAACCCATGTGAATCAACCTCTGAGCCGCCTCCCATACCTCGTCCGGTATATGCTGCTCGATCTGGAAACCTCGCTTCGGATACTCCCTGATGCGGACCAAATCGCCAACAGCTATGTTGATCACCAGGTCCCGCGGATTTTCTTCGTTCGGGTAGTCCTTCCACCTCAGCTTCGGGCTTGTGACCAGTATCTCTATTGTCCCCCCTTCGTCCGCACCGGGCCACTGCTTCATGAACGTCGCGTACGCCCTCCTCTCCATATATGGTTTCTGGACCAGAATGAACTTTTTCAGGTCCAGCCCCTCCTTGTCCCCTTGCCGCCAATTCTGCAACAGCTCATACGTAAACCTCACGTTCTCGCCTGTATTCCTGCTCCTGGGCTCGACAATCATCTTATCATCAGGAACACCCATTTCTCTAGCCACATCCGCGAAGACCTCTGCCTCGGGCTTGCAGAAGCGATCTTGCGTCAGTTTTCCGCTGCCGCCCGAGAAGATGAGGTACTCGCCGAAACCGTCGAGATAGAGCTGGGCCGCGCGTTGCGCAACGCGCGCGTCGAGGCTGCAGAGGCAGAATATCGCGTCCGCTTTTGCCTTCCCCGTCTTCTCCTTCAAGCCATCGTATTCATCACCGTCGTCATCGTCAGACGAAACATCGGATTTAGAGATAGGCATGTGGAGTTGGTGGTATTCGTACAGCATCTCAGCGTCGCGGTGGACTTGTTCCTGTTCATGTTCGTCCGTGGAAGTGAGCGCAAGCGAGGGCGCGGCCTCGCCTTCTTGACCTTGGTCTAATACTACATGCCCTTGACTTTGTTTCTTTTCCGGCTTTTGCTCTGAGAATGAGCCTTCAAGTGAAGCTGTTGCTGGCATTGCTCTTCGTAACCCTCACTTCAAAGTGCAGAAAAGTTTGGCGGCTTTATCAGCGACTCGTGTGGAGTGAGGTATCGGGCGCGGGGGCAGAACAGCGCGTGTGTGTGTGCCTAGGTTCTATGAAGTGGTGACGATTTGCCTGCTGTACGAGCGGAGTGCAGTCAATCATGAAACAAAAAGGCATAGGTTAGTCCTCTTCGTCGGAATGCGTAAGATCTTCCTTATCTTATCCTCAGTGCAAGCGTACCGATTGGCTCAGTTGTGACATGCATCCGGTGCACATTTCCCCTTGAGACTTCACATAACATATGCCATCGCTTTATCCTAACGTAATCATAGTGTATGTGGACATGGGTAGAGTCCTTGTTATTGTTACAATATGGATAGTTGCTGAAATAAAGTAGTAGGTACCCGTTTGTGCTTATATCTGGTTTTCCTGTTCTCGATATCTTGCTTAGGTTACCACCTTTAGAGCTCGGATAGTAGGTAACGGCAGAGCCTGTTCTTTGGTTGGCAAACGTTCAAAAATAGCCGTAACTGCTCGTAGTTCTCGTTTTCATAGCGTCCGATTCTCCAAAGATGGTTGTGGCATCCCTGGACTTCGAACCTGCAACAATAGCCACGATGGGCAGCTGTGCACGCACTTATCTCACTTCCCCTTGCGTGGAGTTTGTGCTGTCGACGTCGTCCGGTGGTTATGGGGTAATGGTGATGTTGTTGTTATTATTACTTTGTAGCGGTGATCGCAATGCCGTGAGAAGCTTGTCAACATTCTATTCACACTACCTTAGGTAGGTAAGTAGGTACATAGATGTTCGATGTGTACCTAGTACTTGTGTAAGTAAATAATTGAG